CCCGCGGGGCTACGGCAGCCCCCACCACACGCCGCCCTACGGGCCCCGGCCCGGCCCGTACGGCGGCGGCCTCTCCCCCCGCGGGCCCGGCTTCCAGGGGCGCTTCGGGAGCCCCTCGCCGGGGGCGCAGACCCCGCGCAGGTCGCAGGGCGGCAGCCCCCGGTACCCGGCCCCCTACGGCGGCGCGTCCCCGGCCGGGGCGCCCCCCCACTTGCCGCCGCAGCACAAGCGCTCGCCCGGGGGCTTCCAGAGGCACTTCCAGGTATGGGGCAGGGCGGAGAGGGACACGGGGAGGGAGGGAGGGAGGAAGGAAGGGAGCTGGTGCCTCTGCAAAGCCCGCTGAGCGCAGCATCCACCCGCCCCAGCACGATTTTCAGTGAAGAGCGGGACTCGCACCGCGCTGGGCAACATCAGCGTTCCCTCCCCCCGCAGCAGAGAGGACGGAGAAAGCACAGCGCAGGCAGGTGTGGGATGAGGAGAGGGAAGAGGGCCCCGGGCCTGGCCTGTTTGGAAGACACAAGGGCTGACGAAAGTGCAGCTTTTCTGTTTCACATTCTGGCATGTGAGGGTAGAGAGAGAGAACTAAGAACCACCCAAAACTGCAGCAAATGCCTCTTTTTCCTGTACGTGCCTCCCTTTGATCAGTTTTCTTCGATGCACTGTGTGCTTTTATTTTGCCCGTGTGGTTACATCACGGGAGCTTCCCTGTCCATATCCTGTCCACACCCAGAGCTTTCTGGGACACGGCTGGAGAACAGCAGTGCTTATTAAGGAGAATTAAGCTGAGGCTCCTTAAAGCAGAAATGAGAGCACCCGTTGGGATAATAGACTGTCATTTTGAAGTCTTTCCATTGCCCACTGAAAGCGTCTCTTTCCTGAGAGTCATTCCCAGCAGGTTCTGTGGGTTTTGCTTTTTTTCCAGGTGGGTTAGTTGAGGCATGTGACTGGCAGTGCACATAAGGATGATGCCAACTTTATGTATGTAACTGGCTTTATGCACTATTAGAGAAGCCTTAAAAGTCTGACAAATGGCAGGTGCAGTACAAGCAATGATAAATTTTTCAGGTGCTCTTACTGACACTTTGAGGATTAGAGTGTGATAGTGAAGTCAGATCTTAATAGAGATTAGTAAAATCTTAGCGTGCCTGCACTGCATTGTCATATTTCCATTCAGAAATAGTATTTTGTTACTTTTTTTGTGATGCAGTTAACTATCTTACAGGAGTCTCATAGTTGATGGGAGGGGGTCATTATGAACTTTATATACATTCTTCAACGGCAAAGACTCTGCTGGTGTGAAAGCCATCACAAGGCTTAACCTCTGTACCTGTGGAAAAGGCCAAGGATGTGGCATTTTTGCTGCGGATTCTGGAGGGACAGTTTATGTCATCATAGTGTCTAATTTCCCTTCAAGAGATCACTCTTTGGCTGCTCAATTAAGTGGCTTTTTCAAAGCTTGCCTTAAAGTAATTGAGCAGAAGAGTATGCAGGAATCCTTAAGTCTTAAGTGGTCCTTTAAAATCTCATCGGAAAATCCAAAAGACAGTTTATGTTTACTTCAGTGTCCTGTTGATGTCATGTCATTGGCATTCTGTGCTCATTTTGTGCTTGCAGGCTTACATTTTTTGAAATGAGCGGAAAACACAAAGAAGAACATAGCTTGTGTTTTCTGAAATGAGTGACTTAAACAAGGGCCTGTAGTGACAGGACAAGGAGGAATGGCTTTAAACTGAAGGAGAATGGGTTTACATTGGATATTAGGAAGAAGTTCTTTACTGTGAGGGTGGTGAGACACTGGCACAGGTTGCCCAGAGAAGTTGTGGATGCCCCATCCCTGGAAGTGTTTAAGGCCAGGCTGGATGGGGCTTTGAGCAACCCAGACTAGCGGAAGGTGTACCTGCCCTCTGGAGGAGGAATCAAACTAGATGATCTTTAAGGTCCCTTCCAACCCAAACCATTCTATGATTCTCCCTTTGTTGTAATTTTTGAGTATCCCCTCTTAGAATTCACTTAATGGTAACATTTCCTTCTCTGCACTCAGCAGGAATTAGTGAACTAGCTGGTAGCGGTACCTGGTTAGTAGTGTGGATCAAAACTTATTACAGGAAGTGAAAAAAAAAAAAACCAAATCTGAACCTTTTGAAATGGTATAGTTGTGATTTTCATGTTTTATGTGTGTGCCAGCAGCTATAATGACATCAGGTGAAGCTGATAAAGGGAGTGACAGTCCCCATTTTCAAGGCAGTGTTACTCAGCTAAGCAATGTGTTGCTGAGTAGCACCAAAAGATGTTTTCTACTCTAGAGAGGGACTTTTTATGTGGAGAAAAAATATTGAGAACAGATTGACTGTTTCTTTAAGGAAAGTTAAGTGAGAGAAGGCTGTTGGCATCAGTGACAGCAAAATAGAAAGTTTTATTTAAGGTATCTTTGGCATCAAACAGTGTCTCTTGCACAGAATGGTTTAATTTCTACAGGTAGGGCAATTTTCCTTTTCCACAGGCCTAAAAAAATACAGAAGGGGAAAAAAAGCATATGTCGGCTAGCATTCTAGACTGAAATAATCCACATGCTTAAATTTAACACTTACTAAAACCTTGTATTACATAATAATACATTTCCTATATTTCAAACATGCTGAAAGGTCAGTTTTACTGATGGCCTGCATCATATTATAGTGAAGTTTAATATTATTAAATAAACCCATACAAATGAGCCTTACCATTGGATTATTTTGTTCCTTCACCGAATACTGCAGATCGTTATGTCAGCTGAGCTTTGTGTTCTGCAGGTTAGACACAGCATTAAATAAACTCCACACTCAAACTGTTATACAGTGTCAAAGCTACTGGGCCTTCCTTTAGTGTGGTGTTTTAGAGATGGTCAAGTGTTATGCTTTTTTCAGACAGAATGTCCTGTGTACTACTGCTTCACTGCTAAATATGAGGGCTTAACGTAAATGTCACTTTGGCTAGTGCATGTTGACTTTAGAAAAATCCACGTCCCTTACAAAGTTTTTTAGATGTAGTATGGGGTGATTCTTTCTGACCCCTGTGGGGTTTGATGCAATAAACTGATTCTTCTCTTTTGAAATAATCGTCTAAGCTACGTAACCTAACTACAAAGATCATTAAAAACAAGTGCCCTGTAAACAAGACATGGATGTTCCGACATTTGGTCATGTATCCATTGCCATCAAGCTGTAGGAGTTCTAGAAAAGTTCTTGCTGGAACCAAATTAACATGTTCCTGCCACAGCACATGAGCAGAAATAGGTTCACGCTGTCTGAGTGAAATCTATTCTTCAGGCTAAACACGGGAGGCTTCACTGTATGGCACCATTTCTCAGTTTTACCCAGAAATTGTTTCATGTGATCTATTTATGTAGATTCTCTAAGGCCTTATTAGTCAAATTCAAATACCATCACTGCTGATTCAAAAAGTCAGGGATTGGGGGGGTTTAAGAAGGGGAAACAGCCCTTAATCAGGTGCTTTTACTCTGCTTTACAAAGTCTGATACAGCCTGGAGGAGTCCTGTGGTTCCAATACAGAATGGAATGGGCACGTTTGGAGACCACTGTGTACCTGTAATATGGGTCATTTAACTTTGGCAAAACCAAAATTAATTTAAATCAATACAGCTTTAGACAAAACCTCACTTTTTAGGGGAGTGAATCTGAAGAGAAGAACAACGGATGATGCTAACAGGAGAAAATGGTTACAGGCATTCCTTTATGTCATAGCCTCCCTTTAAGTTGCAGACTTGTAGCAGCTTTACACAACCAATTGTAGTGATCCTTGATCTTAAAAAAAAATAAATCAAAAGTTCCATGCAAAAGTCAGTATCTGCTTAATCACTGATGACCATTCAGATTGTATGCAAAATAAAATCATCTGCTCTCAAATCTCCCGGAACACTGTTTTGGTCGAAATGTTTTTGGTTTTTTTCTGATGAGTTCTTTGGGTCATTTGTAGCTATTTGCATTATACAACACTGTATTCAATCTGTAAGTACTTCATATCCAGCTTCTGCTCTTGTTAATATTCTCAGCTCTTCCTCAGCCTGTAACTCCCTGTTTTGTTATTCAGCTTTTGTTGGACATGATGTTGACTTAGGCAGCTTATGAAAAACAGCACGAGGAGCTTTTCTGTACCTGTGTGCCAGAGTGATGTGGACAAGGTGTTTCAGAGGAGTCCAGTGTGGGGCTCTTTCCTTATTTTGGTAAATCATCAGCTGTAATTAAAAGAATAATAAAGTTAATATTTTCTGAGGAAGATGCAAGTGAGGCGTAGTAATGATCATTAATAATCAGCTTCAAAGCTCTACTACAGTAGGAAGAAACTTTTTTTTTTTTTTTTAAGTTTGAATTAGTCTATTGAATGTTTCTTTACCTGATGGTTTTCTTCCAAAGGGATCACCCAGGACATCTACTCCATTTGGTACAGCGCATGGCAGAGAGAAAAGAGTGTCTAATGATGTGGAAAACTATTACAGACCTTCAATGCTTGAGGACCCATGGGCTGGCCTAGAGCCAGTTTCTGTTACAGACATAAACCAGCAATACAGCAGTGAGCAAACAACATGTACTGCTAAAAAAGGGAGGTATTTCAGCTAACACTTTTTAAAGGCCAAATAACTCCATCTTGTCAGGAAAACTTTGGGACAAAATCTTAACACTTACACCAGATGAACAGGAATCAAGACCTTAGATAATGCTTTTATTTGATCACACGCCCGCCCTTTTATCCTACTCTTTTTTTATTGCATTGGGTATTTTTATGTATGGGACGGAAAAGGAGTGGTAGGAAACCTTAAATTTCTGGCTATGTGGAAGTGCCTACCAGCTTTGAAGAACAAAGTGTTCTTTAATCACCAGCGACTGATTTGTGACTGTTAAAACAGGTTTCCATATACTTACCTCTTCCATGCCAGATTGTTAGCCTTTTATTGTAAAGTACTTTAGGAAGTGGTATTTTTTTATGTTTCAGCATTTTTAGAATGAAGTAACTTGGAAAAAAAAAAAAAAAAAAACAAACAGTTTTGTAAATCCTTGTTTTGTAATGTGTAAAGAATATTTTAGGACTCTTGTTAAGGTGTACACATTAACACAAATAGTACTGTTGAAATTAGGTGACCTCTGTAAATGTGCTTGTATGCTGTAGTTAACCTGTGGTTTTGTGCATAGTGATTTTTGTTAATTGCAGTGTAACATGAAGTTGAAATGTGACTTTTAGCCATCTCAGGAAACAAATGTATTGTTTTTGGAAAGTTTAATTTGTTGAACCAGCTCTTGAGTCGCAAACTTAATTCTGTAATCATTTGCTTTTGTGTTTAAAAAAATATATTTGAATCAATATTAGATATTTTTGGATTATTAACAAGTCTGTTCAGTGGCAATTTAAGTCTAAGGAGTACATAAAACATCAAGATAATATAACTGGAAATGTTCTCTGTGGGTCCACCTGTTAGAATAGCATAGAACGAATGACAGTTTTGGTTATACAGTTGACATTAGTACGTGCACAGCGTTTTTTGGGGTTTTTTTTTGAATCCGTAGAATATTTTCCAATTATTTTTTATTTTTACTTGTGGCAGGAATCATTGCCAGGAGAACTGTTTTGTGTGTGTGCGTGCTATATTTTTATACTGAAGAGGAAAACAAGGAGTTGGTTTTTTAGAGCTTGTCTTTACATGGAAAATGCTTCCCATGCTTAAATGCAGAAGTGAAGATCATAATCTGGAATAAAAAATTAGTTCTAGCTGCAGGCATGCTTTGAATTGTCACATTAAGCCTGCAGTAGTTAGATAAATTTTTGTTAAACGTGCCATTATTTGTTTGTTGATCTTGGCTTTTAAGCCAAGATAGAGCGTGAAAACTTTGTTTAATAAAACCATTAGTTTTATTTTCAAAACATATGTGTTAAGTTTTTTACAAACTCGGAAGGTATTTTTGTAGTCCTGAAGCATGGTTAGGTTGAAAAGCCAAGACAATCGCATTAAACTGTTCTTAATAACTTGTCTTTTTGCTGAGGTAGAATAGTCCTGTATGTACTCTGTATCTGTTTCAGCACAAAACCTCTCGGGTTAATACCACCTTCAGGAACAACTTAAAACTGCAGGGAGGGAATTAACATATTTAAATGTGCCGAGTCTCTTCTGCTCTCATGACCACAATCCATGACCTCTGTCTTCCCCCAGCTGACCCTGTTGTTTTAGTGTTATATCCAGAAAGGCTGCTCAGAGAACTGAGAACATAGTGCCTTCTGGATATCAAGAATGACTAAATCTTTATCCCAGAATCAAAAAAACTGTGCCTTAAATGGCAGCTATCAGTATCATTATCTGTAATAGGTACCAGCAAAACTGAGATGACAAGTTGCAGAGAGTCTTCAGAATTTATACATCAGTTAATTGACATCAATTGTGAAAAGGGAAGTATAAAGTTTTCTTTCTTTCTTTCTTTTTTTTTTTAAACCTCGTCAGGTGCTGTAAAGCTCCCAAAAAAAAAAAAAAGTTATAGTCTGCTTAACCAAGTTACCTTTTTTTGTTGCTATTCCCCACGTGATTGAATACAATTTATTTTTTGCCACGTTTGGTGATCTTGGAGAAACAAATATGATTTTATTTAAGACACTAAAGCTCTGATGTGTTCACAGTTAAATACAAGAACGGTCTGGGTTTGGAAAGGAGAAAGGAAAGGTAAAGGATTCCTGACAGAAGAGAGTCTGTTAGAGGTGGGACTTCCTACACAGTAGCCAGTATCAGCTGCCCTTGCACGTTGTGAAGGTGCATTTTGCCACTTTGGCTTTGGCGTTGGCCCAGGGTTTAAAGCCAGCCTCCTCTGGTAATAATTCTTAACTCCTGGAAGCAGGTGTCAGACATCAGTGAAGATAAACCTTCCAGAAAGAGACTTGAGGAAATACTCTTAATCCATGCAGACCATCTACAATGCCATCTGTTAAACTGCAGCACCAGCGCACTTCAGGATATGACTCAACAATTATATCACACAGCTAAAGACATTCGGTCAAGAATCCACACCAAAAAAAACTTAAAAATTATTCACCTTTCTGGCTTCTAGGAGAAATTCTGCAATTACAGTAAAATTTTAAAATGTCATTGTTGAATAGCTGTAAAATGCATGAGCACATGTTCAGAATTATAAATATAATGTACTTAAAGCCAATTTAAGCTTTGCCTTTTTTGCTGTGATACCCAGGAAGCTTAAGCACTTACTTCCTCACCAGGTTTTTTTTTTTTTTCCTTTTTACCATATGGCAAACATTCTTTTCCCCCACATGTTTCTAATGGGGAGAGGATACATCACTTCCTCATTTGTTAATGAAGCTACTTCATAGTAACAGTATGACTCTGGAAATAGCATGGGATGATAAAAAGTAAAGCACAAATACATCCTTTCTTCACGAGCCCGTGAAACAAAATAGTTGCCTGTCTTGGCAATGAAGGGATTCTTCTGCAATGAACGTACTAAGAATATGCTCTTTCTTCAGCAGACTTCTTAGACTTTAAGGTAAGTAATTTCGCTCCTTTTCCAGAAGTTTGGATGGATATACTTCTCCATTCTGTTTTGCTTGCGTTGTGTTAATCCATCAAGTTGTTGTAAAGGAGTTGGTGTAACTCTTTTAATTCATTTGTTGCTGTTTGATCCTGCATTTAACACTGGACTGCATCGCTGCTGCACTGTGCTGATATCACAGCGACACAAATCAGATGGGTACATGGGTAAGGCATGGGTGGGTAGTTACCCCAGGTTGTGTACTACAGTAGTTCCAAGTTGGGGGTTGAGATTTCATTGCAGCTTTATAATATGGAATATTCATTCTTCTCTGGCACTTAGTACACATTATTTTATATTGAAACTGTTAAATAATTTCGAATACTGAATTTACAGTTAAAATGGGATTTTAGAAGTTCATATCAAGCTCCTCTTCAGAATTAGCAGTAATGCATTAAGATGTAGCGTTTTCCTAATGTCAGGGCTGGCAGCACTCGCCAGGGAAAATGCTTCTGGTGAGCAGGATGGATAACTACTTTTGCAGTCAGGTTGTTTTTCTTTCTTTTCCCGTTAAGGGTATCTTTATGCGCTCTTCACTTTATATAAATTATGTAATTAGATATCTGAGGGGGAGCATTTGAAACATGCATTAGATGGAAATTCTACAAGCAGGTGTTCAGCTTCCTTCTAAAGAGAAGTTTTTTATAGTCAGTTTGGGTTTCAAGTTGTGCTTCTGAGTAATCTCACTGAAGTCAGAGGATTTACTCATGCAACTGAGGTGTGTAAGTATCTAATGTGACAGTTTGAAAATTGTATCATCCCTTTGTCTGCCAGTGCTTTTTACCAACACTGCAGTTAACTCCTCTGCTTAGTGCTTGCTCTGAATTCGAGTTCATATACGAGCCAAGAACTGTCTTGCAAATTAATTAAACTTGTTCTTACAACATTTTCCAAAACTCCCAAGAGTAAGGACTGTTCTCCCGTCCCCAGATCTTGGTGCTTGCCTTCCTCCCCACTCCTTGGAGCTGGGAGGAAAAAAAGGGAGGACTGCCTGCACTGATTGGTGAAGAACCATGTCATGATTTTCATGTCTCAGGCTTTCTGAAACTTGTGTACCAATTGATATAGGTAACTAGTTAAACTTTTTCATCATTTGAGATGTCTCAAGCAACTTTTTATAGCACAAGACACACTTGAAGGAACTATTAATTTTCTAAGCCTATGGTGAGCCACTGTGTTACTCAGGTAAAGAATAATAGAATTTAAATTGTTTTTTTCTCATTTATTCACTGGTGACAGCATCTTAGGAGGATATCACATCAAGCTGAAATTTTTAACACAATTATTTTAAAATAGGCTGCACTGAAAATCTGCATGTACTACCCTGCTTCTGTGGGCAGCAGTAATCATGCTGCTTGATGCTGTATTAAACTACACTTAAACCTTCTGGCATCCATATGTATTTAGCCACAATATAATTGTTGTGTTGCCAAGAGAGTTAAAAGTTACTGTTATTGTAGAGCCAGCGGGTTTAAATCTTTGTTGTATGCATGAGGAAATTCCTGAGAGTTCAAACTGCTGAACGTGATGTCGATGCAAGTGTTAGCATAAAGACCAGTAAATGGAAGAACAAAACCTCTCTGATGCAGATCGTTCCCTTTTCAAGCATCACACAAGCTAATGCTAGAACAAGGGAAGAGATATCAAACTAACTGACAACTTCTTGGGGATGACTACACAGCATAAACCTCAAATAACAGAGCTAAAAGCTTTAAGAAACACTGATTGCCAATTGGGAAGTAGTATCAACAGTAATTGGATTGTAAGTAGCAGTTGCAGAGTGTTTTTTAAAATCAAACCAGTATCTCCTGTGGCTTAGTGAAGATTTTTAGGCTAATGTAAAATAAGGCTTTGAGCTGTATTCCCTTAACAGATGTGGGGAATTAACATGTTACTATTCCTGCAGTTGAGTTTGCAGAAAATAATGTCTTCACTTGTCTGTGAAGTCTAGCATCTTTGCCTGGGTCTCTTTTTTTCTTTTTTTTTTTTAAATGCAGTTTTTTTTAAAACTGGATTTGAAAATCTCAGGGACTGTTTCAAAGATAAAAGGGAAAATTAACCTCTGCAAATGGTCCAAAGTGTACACTTGGAGTTGATAACAGTAAGAAGGCACCAAGGGTCCATCTATTGATTACTTGCCATTGCACTTTTCCTGAAGCTTTCTTGTCTGCCTACTGGTTCCTTTGGCAATTAAATTACACTAAGGAAAATTACTTAGTTGTTCATTTTCAGGTGTTAGAAAGCTGTATGTGCGCTATGGGCAACAGGTTGAGAAACTGCGATAATAGCTGTTTGCAAACTAATGAACCGCCAAATCGTGTCCCTCTTGGAACTGAACACCCTACCAGCAGTGTTCCTGTACTTAAAATAGCTTCTACAATAAAATTCCAACTATGCAGAAAGCTTGTGCAAAGAACCCTTAAATGCCTGTTTTCAAGGTATCTGCTGCTTCTGGTTGCATTTTTCTGACACTGTTTAATTTCCTCTCAGAATAATTGCTGCATATTTTATACACTGACTCTCCTGTAGCCCATCATCCTCACTGCTGTGAGTGAGGTGAGGAAGAAGTAGCTAGTGTCTGCACTTTGTGGTAGAAGAGAACCCAGTGTTTTCTGTTCTTCCTATTTCATTCCCTAAAGCTAATAAAAATATTCCGAGCAAGTTTCAAAGGCGTGTCTTTCCTGTCAGGGAAGATGCCAGCAGAAAGGCAGCCTTGCTTTCCAGCACATGCTAATGATAAGTGGTAGCTGCTGAATTCAGTGAGCATCTGAAAAAAACCCACAAGCACCTTTCAGTTCTGCTGTAGGGAATACAAATAGAAACATTGCTCTTAACAAAAGAAATCCACTTCTTAACGGCAGAAGGGTTCATGGACTTCAAATAAATGAGGATTTCTGCGTTTTATTTGATAATCAGCAAGTTTGTGCTTTACTCCAGGAGAGCTGCATTTCAAGTTTTCTGTGGCCAGAATAAGTATGCCAAATTATATATGATTTTTTTAAAGGGTAGTTTCATTTTTTTAAAAAAAATGAAAATTGTGTTCACAAGGGAAATTCTGACACTGGAGAATTAAAGGGAAATCTCTGCTGAAGTTAACAGGGGTTTTGGTTTTCATCCTTTGTCTGACCTAAAAT